TATTGTTAAAAATGTATTTTAATAAACTCATTTTTAATATAAGGCATTAAATTGTGAAATCAAATATATCCTCCCTTTAATTGTCATCTTAATGTCATTAAATTTAACCTTAAACCATTTTTTTTTGTATTTATTTTTATTTTTTTGGAGAAGATAGAAAAGAAACAAAGTTATAAAACCTGTATAAAATGTAATCAACTTACAACAAGGTAGCAAATTTAACTGAATCATTTAAATCTAATTTCTTTATTTAAACTTTTTCCCCGAAAAAACTATTATTTTTTGGCCAGCTCGTCAATTTAACATAAAGTTGCCCTTCATGTGCTCACTTTATTCATATTTTTACTTAACTGTTATGAATATTATTTTATTTTTTTAAAAAATAAAATTTATGTTTTTATCACGGAAAAAAACGCATGAACGCAATTTTATAAAATTAAGTAAAATATATTTTTTTTTTAGTTTGCTCGACATTATGGCCTTTCTACAAGTCGAAAGGTCTCCTGTTTTTAGAACTTGTTATTTTTTATATTTTTTTAAAAAAAAGAAAAATTATGCTAATTTATTAAAATTTTCTCCAATTAATATATCAAAGACCTGTAGAAGTCAATGTTTATAGATATAGAAACTATTTTAATATAGTCTTCATTTTCAAGTCCGTTTTAAATTTTTTATATTTTTAGCCCAGCCCGGGTTTTAGAAAAAATTTGCCTATTTTAAAAATATAATATATGAGAGGCAAGTAATAAAATTCCAAATTAATTTTCCTTATGCTCATAAGATTAAGCTATATATTGTAGTGCACTGATGTCTTATTACTACAGGGTCATAGCCAGGAATTTTATATGGGAGGGGGGGGGGGATGATAATTATTTTATATTGAAATAATTTTCTTGGAGCATTAAAAATTTATTAGAACTAATCATCATATAAAATTTATTAGCTAGTAATCATAATATAAAATTTATTAGAACCAATCATATTTGAAAATATGATAATTTCGAACACAAATAATAAAATATTGGAAAATTTAAAATATATAATATATAATACGGTTAAAAAATATTATTGTAAATCACAATAAAATAAAAGTTTTTAAAAAATTAATCAAAATATCATCTATAAATGAAAATTTAATCTTCTTTGCGATTGCGTCAATTTTTTAATAATTTGTTCTGTGTTGGAGATTAGATTTCGATGAGTAAAGCTAGTTTATTTAATCAATTTTACGATGTCTTAATTTTGTTATAGGTTTTTATTTTCTGCAATGAAGAAAAGGTCCTCATTTGTGCTTGTCCTATTGGAAGCATTTATAAAATATACATAATTTTAATAATTTTAACTTATGAAAGATATTTTATGTATGTAATGCTTCCACCGTATTTCTTGAAGAATTATCTATAAAAATGAGTCTTTCATACATTCCATTTAAATTTTGAATTTAATTGGCCTTCAGATACATTTATATCTAATGAATAAAAATAAAAATATTGAATTTTCCAATATCAAGATTTGATATATCCTCAGATAAGCTGAAGTTATAAGGTATAGTATTTGTAAATTGGATAAAGCCATATTTGATAAATCACAAATCGTTTAGTGATTTGAATCAAAATTAAATCCAAAAGTAGAAAAACGGTTATTTTATAATAATCCTCAATTGAGTCCACACGTTAATATTGGAACGATTTGCTTGCCAGTTAAAGTCGAGGCTTATGAATCTCAAAATCATATAATTTCGCTTTCACCTAACAATCACACAAATCTCGAGAAATTCCAGGTCGATATTATCTCTTGATTTTCTAAATCGCGATTCTCATAACTTGAGCCATATCCATTTTTTTTGAAAAATATTGCATAAAATTTAATATTAGAATAGAATATAATTTATTTGAAATAGAATACTTTGCAATTCACAATTCATGAAGCACTTTTATATTTTTTCAAAAATTCTTGCTACGGAGGGGGGAAGGATTTCCCCCCTCTCTCATTCCCGTTGGCCACACGCCTATATTACCAATGAAATGAAATCGATATTAATTCATAGAATAAATTATTAACTTATTTACGCCCCACTGCGTATGCGCCTCATATAGACAGTCCAAATTTCAAACCAATAATTTACCACATAAAAGCCGGACTTAATATTTTGGCTTTGAAAAGGGGATCCCCCTGCTGCGCACGCGCCTGAAGCATTAATTTACCACACACTTATTTGTTCACCTTAAAAATAAATATTTATTTTTCATAGAAATTCGAGCTTAATAAATCTTAATAACAATTTAGCATCAAACTATTTCAAAATTTGAGTCTAAAGGGTTTGCTAGTTTTTCTCCGTATATTAGCTTCCTAGACTAAATAAATGTTTTATAAAAAATGTTTTAAGTAAGTAAAACATTATATTGAATAAACAGTAGTTTAGGAAAATTCATATTTTAAAAAGTAACTAATTATTTATAACAAGTTACTTTAACACTATTAAAATGGCCATATTTATATAAAATAAATTCAATGCAATTATAATTATATTTGGTTTTGCAAATTTAAATTCTTTTGTATGTATATTTAAACCCTTATATGATTAACCTCACAAACTCATTTTTCACACTCAAATTTTTATTAAGTAAAGGTAAGGTAAACTTATATTATTAATATGAAATGTTTAACCTTATAAAGAACCTATTAATCTTTTCATGTATAGTACAAATTTTTAATTTTGAAAACATAAATTACCTCAAAATGCCAAATATTTAGCGACATAAATTTTAATGATTTTTTTTAAAAAAATTATCAAACCTTTGAGCCAAAATTTATCATATTTTAATAAATATTATTGTGTTTATAAAAAATATCATTTATATATATATATATAAAAGCTATAAATTTAATCATCTTTCAAAGTATTAATTTGTTCATTGAAGCTCAAATTAGTTCATAAAATTAAACCATATTTTCATTTCTCTAACACCGATCCGAGCCAAATTAAAAAAATATCTTGTTAAAATTGTACTATATGTCGGCAACCTCTATATTTTGACCAGAACCTAAACACCCTGAAGAGATCACTTTATTCAGGTATCATTGTGTAGTTTTATTGTCATAAAATTTTAATTACATAATTAAACACACATTAAAAGTTGTCACCAGGTGAAGTTGCAATTTACAATAAAATGCCTTCTTTTTTTTTTAATTTATAAAAATTTAATTTCATTTTTTTGTTTTGAAAATTTTTGATAAAAATTTTGATTGCCAAAAATGTTTATTTTATTATTCATTTAACTTATCTGGACCCTATATGTCGTATTGAGATATTGAATCCATGGGGATAGGAGTCTCTCGAATGAGAATTATTTATCGAGGATGAGTTTAAATTTTTTTTTAAATATGATTGAAATTTAGTATCTACCCTATAAATTTCAGCCAATTTTCTCCATAAACCTTTGTATATTTTTTTAATTTATATAAAAAATCAATATAAAGATCACTATAAATTAAAATTAATTCTAAATTTCAGGGAAAATTTGTTTGAAATTCATAATGGGGTGCATACTTAAATATATTGGTGTGATTAGAATTTTTGAAACGAACTCTTTCTTAGTAAATAATTTATTTGAGAGATTCAGACCTGGATTCCATATTCCAATATGACATATATAATATACATCGAGTGAGGCCAAAACATCATGATATTTAGAATGGTTGATAAAAAGAAATGATTTAAATATTTTCAAATAAAATTAAGAAATTATATGAATAAAATATCACAGGTAATGAGAACTGCCAAGTCCTGGGCTGTTAAACCTTTTTTTAAAAAATGATTATACCAAAATCAATCCTATATTGACATATTTTTTTTTAACCAACGAGAATAATTCTTCTATTTTTTTAAATACCCACTTGAAGTTATTTTTCATAGACTAATGCTAATGAACTGATATAATATTTACCTTGTGATATCCTAAAGGCCTTATATTCATCCTTTGTTCAAGATTCTCTAGAGAAAAACTCTACAGTCTACTATAAAAATGTAATCTAATGCAGTGGCGTATTTCGATAAGAAGACTTTTATTCTGGAGGGGGAAGTGGTGTATGACGCAAGGTTGTTATTGAAATTTAAACTGGGTTAATTATGAAGAAACTATCGTCATTTGAATAAAATGTTAGGGAATAGCGGGTAGTTTTGATTCGGATTTTTTTTATTGCAAATTTGGATTTCGGGGTACTAGATTAATGGAAAGTATTTTATTTTACCATTAATGGAGGCACTGCATAACATCGTCGTATAAGAGAATATCATTATTTATCTTGGTAAAGTAATAAAGGAGTTGGGTAAAAATTACTCAAATTGTATTTAAATACAGATAAAGATATTTTTCAAATAATATCCAAGATATAAGATATTTGAGGAAAATTTTAAAAAAATTCCAATAAAAGTATCCACATGGAAAAATTTTTCTATTTTACCTTGTAGTTTTTCTTAATTTTTTTTTTTAAATTTTATATAAAAATTTCTTAATTATTCCTACTACCTCAAATTAAACTAATTAAAGTAAACTTAGTAGTATCATGAATGATTTATTTCTTTAATTTGCCCATTTTATTGGAATAAAATTTATTTAAACAATATTGACGAAATTATAAATTCCTTCGCTTTCTCTTCTCCTAATCTGTCTAAATTATTCATTTAAATTTTTTTTCAGAGTGTATATTTTTTACATTAATATTATATATAGATTTACGAATAAAAATTATATTTGAATTTTTTAATATAATTAACTGCTTTTTTAGAGGGATGTATTTCTTCAAAGAGGGAGGTGTGGAAAGGGGGGGGGGGATATTTTGTCCAACATTTTCTAATTTTGAATTTGTAAAAGGGTTGAGGAATAAAATTAAAATTTTCTTTAACTCAATTTCAACCAAATTGGAGTTAAAACTTTATAATATTCAAACAATGATTAGTTGTATTTTTAAATTTTTGTCATATTTTTTTAAAATATTAGGTTCACGGATTAAAAGGAAAAAGACGACATTTGCCATTCCGCCTGTGAATAGCAAGAGCCCTAAAAATTTCACAAATTTTAAAGAGGATTCAACGGATGTCTTAAGTGATTGTAACAATTCGTTTAACTCGCACAGTATACCAAATCGCAAATTAGAAAACTCTAATAATGAGGTAGATATCAACGGAGAAGTTAAAAATGACATAGTGAATAACGAGGATAGCAATATCGAGTCCGACATAAATGGTTTAAAACGACCAAGAACGGCGTTTTCTCATGCTCAGCTGCATCGTCTGAGGAAAGAATTCCAACAAAATCCCTATTTAACCGAATCCCGGAGGAAAGATTTGGCAAACGATTTAAACTTGAATGAATCCCAGATAAAAATTTGGTTCCAAAACAAAAGAGCAAAGTTGAAAAAGAAGGCCCAGAAATCTAACGATAAGCCCTTCAGGCCAGTTAGCCCTTCATACAACATTTCTGTTAATAAATTTTCTAAAACATCAGGAATACCTAGTTTTAAACATAAAAATTTAAACAAACATAGAAAGAGTAACGAAACGTCTTGCGGCTCCATTGGCATTATCACGATTCAAAATACGATCTCACAATCAATTAAGAGCACGACGAATAATATTTTATTTCCCTTAAATTGTGATAGCTATATCAATAATTCAACATGTGATAAATCTTTTAAAGTTAACAATGAGGTCCAAACAAACTCTCCTATGAGTTATAAACCAATGCCTATCTTCTTTCCTACTACTTTTTCCGATTACCCTCGTGTCAAAACAAATTTGGATCCAAACATTATAAATAAACAAGATTATGGTAGCTCGTTAGCCAAATTAAACAATGTAAAACCTGCTTTCCATGCTACCGGTGAAATAGTAAACTGCTCGATCTCCGAAAAAACGATATGTAATGATAAAATCACGTTAAAATCAGGACCGCCTTGTCCAAATTTTGATAATAACTCGTTTCTCTATAATTATTACTATTATATGTTACCTATATTAGACATATCCAATTATCAACAACAAATTTTTAATAAACCTTTTAGCTTGGACAAAAATTTTATCCAGCACTTTAACAAATATTGCCTGAATTCGAAAACTTAAAGAAAATATATTATATTATTATTTGGCAATGTTAAAACGTAAATTTAGTATTATCTATTTGTTAATTAATATATATATAATGTAAATTAAATTTCATGAGAAAAAAAAAATAAACAATGTCATAGTTTCAACCAAAGTTTCGTGTACAGTTAATTATGGATAATCAATTAACCGTTGATTGATATAAGAGAGATGTTAAAATTAAGTTTATTTACAAATCAAATAAATCAATCCATAGAATAACATTAATATAATAATAAAATTTCAAAAGTGTATAAATTTGATATATAACAGATTTTTGAGTAATTTTATAATCATCATAGGTAGAATCCTGCAAAGTAATTTTTCGAAAAAATATATCTGAACCAAATTGGGCACAATTTTTTTTGTTCCAGCCCGGCCAGAACTCAACCCGAACCCGACTAAAGAAATTTTGGAATTTAAGTTCAAATATTATAATTTAGTAGGAATAGTATTTTTCAAAATTATTTTTAAATTTGGAATCCATTCTATAAACAATTTTATAAATATAAAAATCTGAGGGTATTTAATTGAATAGATTTTAGATTAAACAAAAATTATCAAACGTAAATATTCCATAACTGTTATGACAAATTAATATATACTAAATTTTGGTCAAATGTAGAATACAATATATTTTATTTAAATGTAATTAATAGTTTATCTAGTCACAATACAAATCACAATCACATGAAATTGTTAATTTGGGAAATGGAAATTACATAAATAAATAAGTGAAATAAGTTAGATGAAGAGTTACATGTGATTCTAATCAATGAACAGGATCATTATTGAAGATATTTCTAATATTTAATTTTCAGGCTTGGTCTGAATCTCTTATAATTGGACCCGAGCAGTATTTAATTCTAGCCCAGGTGGGGCTCCGGATAGGTCGTGCAGGGCTCAAATCATAGGTTATCCGAATTCAGTTCATTTAAAAATAATTATTTAGAGTTCAAATTTGGTTCGTAAAATAACATAATATCGGTATAGTTTAAACCATTAGCCCTCTCGCATACAAATTTATTAGAATGAAGAAATAAATGTTATCGGTACTAACGATTTATAAAGCAATTAAGGTTTTTTTATTTTTATTGCAAAATATACACTATAACAAATAAACAGTATTTATTAAATACCATGGCGACTGGTATTGACCAATCAATCAAAATTAATTTATCTTAATCCTTAAAATGGTTAGGAAATTAAGAGGCTCAAACTGGTTTACCACCAACCTATATTTTTATGTTCGATTCAAGTTCAAGTGACAATATTTTTAGCATCAGATTCGGTTGTTGGTTTGATAAATAATACCGGTTCCGGTTTTGTTTGGAACCTTGGGTTATTACATTATATTCTTTTGTACTTCCTTTCGTCTCAAGAATAGTTTATTCATAATACATTTTTAAATAATAAGCTTTTTAGATATAAATTGCGTGCCATTTTAGCCACTTTTGGGGTATAGCATTGGGGCTTAACTGTATAAAAAATACCTATAAATGTAAGTAACTAAATATATTGGTTTAATACAAAAATAATTTGACATTTTAGAATTTATGATATATCAACCAAATATACTTTCCCTAAGGTTTCCATAACTCTATTTGATTATTTCTATGCTAAGGCTACTAAATGATAAGCTAAAGCCAGAGCCATCGAGTCTCATAATAGGATAAAGATTTGATCATTTATAATCATAATGGCAATTTTTAATAAATTGCAGTAATTTTTTTTTATAATTGCTTGCCACCATATTTTTAGTTCTATTTCAAATATTGATACCAATTTTAGCAATTTACTCATTTTTATTTTTTATTTTTACTGTACTAAAAGGATTGAAACATTAAGTAAAATGTTATTAATTTGGCATAGGCTCTACATCTATTAAGCATTACTAAATGATCTGATATAAGTTTCAGAGTTAATGTTCCCAAAAGTTGAGTCAAACGTGGCATCATAGTTTTAATTTTGCTTATAACTCGGTCTCTTTTTTGTGGTTCGCAAAACTGATAGAAAAATAGATGCTATAAATGTCCATCGAATTTACATTTAGTTTGGGAGATCATATTAAAGCGGCGAATATTTCTATCACTAAATTCAAATAACTCAGAGATATTGTGGGGATTCAAAAGTTAATTCATCTTGCAAAATAGGGGATTGCTTTCATTTTATATTTCTCAATGGTTATTTCGAAGATATGATAGTTGAATCATTAAATTCCTTGTATGTAGATAGATCTTATGGACGGATATAAAACTTATGTCATCAAATCTATAAAAATTCAATATAATAAACCCATTATTTCCTTCAAATTTTTGAAATATTTATAATAAGATAATATAGAGAAAGATTAACGCTCAATCAATAATTGCAAAAGTTAGAAAAATAAAATTTAAAAATTTGGTCAGTGAAATTTTACCATTTGGAGACTAATTGAAAAGGTAAGATTTGAGATTAGCGAAGCTATTAAAACTTTCACAATGGCAGCCAAATATCAGGCGCGTATGCAGCGGGGGGGGGGGCAGGGGGACAAATCCCCCCCTCCACAAAACAAAAAATGCAGATGGCGGATATATTTTTCAAAAATATTATTGTTTATATTAATTTATATTTGTTAATATTTATTCCTATCTCATATTAAATATATATTTAATTACATTTATTTATCACATTCATCTACTAAATTATTTTATCAATTAATTCCGATTTAAAGTTTTCCTTGGCGTAATTTACCTATTATTTTCAAATTTTTGGTGGCATAATTTTTATCTACCATTTTCAAATTTCTAGTCAAATAATAATTATTTCTGAAATTCCTTGTCCAACAGGGAGAAAGAAATTGCAAGCTTGTCCAACGAGATAGAGTCTCCGCCATAAAGCAGTAACAGCTTTTATGGAGTTAGAAGAGCCGATTATTTACTGAAATATCATAATCGCCTGAAAGAAATATTCCTCAGAAGCAATAAAATTATTGGATTTAATGCTTATTGCACAACTATTTTATGTAATACTTTTCAAAAACACATTGACTTGATTAAGAAGATGAGAATAGAGAGCATTTTATTAGAAATCAAGGAAAGTAGGGCTAACGTAAAGAATTTTATATTTTATATGTTATTGTTGAGTCAAAGGTAGAGCTATATTTGTCTCCCTCGACTTGCAGTAAGGCATGCTCATCGTTAAAACATTAAAATAGGATCTGTAGAAGAGTATTTTATAACAAATGTTTCCTCTCATAGATAGATTTATGACCAAAATAAATGAATGATTTTTAATTCATCATGCAGCACTTACCAATCTGCAAATTTAACTTCTACAAAAGCCTTCCCAACCTTTTTCAGATGGTGATAGGAAAAAAAATATTTGTTAGATTTTTATCATGAAGATGTTAAGGTATCTTATGATGCCTTATTAGCTGAATAACTATGTTTAAAAGATTAACTATGGTTGATATAGTTTCAAAAAATGATATAATTTTTTTATAATTCACATTAATTTAAAATTGTGTATTAGAAATAGTTATTAGTCCTAATAAATTCATGCTTGATATTTTTAAAAAACAATACTTCTTAAACCAAGCCCAAATTCCTGCGTACGCGCCTGGCAAATACATATTTATATATATTTTTTTAAATGGAATATGAAAGTATAATATAAAACGCTTATAATCTTTAAATCATAACAAACCAACAAGAAAAACGACCCCTATAGAGAAATAATTTACCATAATATTTAATCCATTATTTTTATAATCCAGTTAGTGGATGTTGTAAGATTATGAATCCTCAATTTCTTATTTATCTGGCAAGTTTTTCTTGTATAAAGACTGATCCGCAATTGCGCGTATCTTTTAAATCAATCACTTTAAATTTGAAAAATCAGATTTAATCGGAAATAAATTCTAGCACTAATTTCAGAGAATTTTGACATTTTCTTTTCTATATTTTTAATTTATGTGAAAAATCTAACATATTAAAATTAATAAATTAAGATTAGCTTAAAAGTTGAGGGTATATCTTTTATATGGGTAAGTTATAATGTTGAAATTCATTTCCGGGTATCAAATTTTTTTTTAAATAAAAAATAGTGCTCAATAGATGGTTTAAAATTGAGATTCCGAATCACAACGGGATAACTCCCAAGTACTCATACTAGATAAATTTCAATGAAGTATGTATTACTACTAAATTGGCGATTCATTAACCCTTTCATGTACAGAAAAATATGGGTTATATTTTTTATTATCACGTATTTTTTTCAAAATTTTTTAAAAATAGAATATAATACCGACTTGTTCATTTCATATCAATGATCTTTTTTAGGACTTAGTAAAAAAAATATTTTAAAAAACTTTAAGGTAGGTTAGATTATGTATTACCATACAAAAAGTTACTCCAAAAAGTGGGTTATATTTTGGCCTAGCGTGAATGAATTAATTTAAAGTGCCCATACATAGGAGTCAGCTGTTGAGCCATTTTGTGGTTTACACTTAAACGATTTGTCTATTTATCATTATGCACATTAATGTAATTTAATAGAAGTGCAAACTACAAAATGGCGCTACAACTTACCACTACGTATGGACACTTTTAAATAAATTTAATGAATTAATCTCCAAACTGATAGTGTGCATATATATTGATTACAACATATAGTATATAGTATTAGGCAATATTTCACATGTAAAATATTGGATAAATAAACGGGATTATTCTTAGTATTCTTTAAAGCTCGACTTTTTAAAATAAAACTAAAAAAATTTTTTTATAAAAAATCTTCATTTATACACACCAAGGATGTAAAATTTTTATTTCGACTTTTATTTCATAGTATACAGGTAAAAAAAAAATCATGATACAATTTGGCATCATTGAGCGAAATGCATGTATATAAAAAAATATTTATTTATATATTATGAAAAATTTTTCCTAGTTAGAGCATAAATTTTTTCACACATAGTCCTTAAGCGATATAACACATAATTTACACCTTTTTCGAGTCTTAGAAACTTCTGGCCAATGCCTTAAATTATCATATCTAACGTCAGTTATTATCGGAGGTAACTTAGATCCTTTTTGTATTTTAGGATTTTCATTTGATGGTCTCCCTATTTTTCTTTTACTAATTTTACCTGCCATTAACAAGGCAGGAACTATTTGAGATTTAAATGTTATAAGTTTTATAAAAAATTTTCATTTTTTTGAAGTAACGATACAATATCCATACATTCACAATGCAGGTATCTATCAAATGAAATATTATTCGAAGTAATATGGTGTTGGAATATTATTTGAGGGATTAGAAATTTTTTTAGAAAACGCTGTATCAAATGATTCAATATTTTTTAATACCCAATTACTACTGAGATTAGGAAAACTAGGACCTTCATGAACATTATCAAGTTCTATGTGGAGTGCATTTATGGGCGAATCTACATCTATATTGTCAATAGAATGATTAAAATTATCCTCCTGTTTCCGAAATATCACCTTCAGTTATAATTATTTTATTTGACATCTATAAAAAATAAAATTTATTCAATGTTAATAAAATAACTTATTAAATTCCCAATGAGTTAATTTGGCATCATAATTTTAAAATTATATTTACAAAAATAATTAAAATTCTAAAAAAATATAAATTCATGACATTTTTGAATATTTTGTCTTCTTTATAAAATAAACAGTTTTAAATTTTTTTATTAAAATATATTTAAATAATATGTAAAATCAAGTAATTCAGAAAAAATCGAAACGGAAATAGTCAAAATTTACATGACAATAAAATAAAAACAAAAGCACCTTTTTTTATTATTGAAAAATACGATTGAATACATTTGTATATTTATTTAAAAATGTTAAATTAAATCATTAAGTGGTTTTAAACGTTAAAAAATAACATTTAATATGATGATGTCAAATTAGCTCACAGGACTTTAAAGGGTTAAAATTTAAAAATGACCGCTTAAGCGATGAATTTACAAGGTAAATTTATTTTACAAATCGATAATGGTTACTGATATTTTTGAGGCGGATTACATAACAAATAAGCGAAAGATAGAAATTGCTATATTATACGTTTCTTTTTTTTAAATATAAATGTAGAGTAACCCTACTGGGCATCTGTGCTTTACCGAACATAATATTGGGCTGATCAGGATACAAATGCCAAATCTTTGTATTATCAGACAGACATCAATAGTACAGAACTGCAGTGGTTCATTAAAAAAGTGGTTTACACTTATATTTACTCAATTTTTTCAAATTATAAAATTTGATTGATTATCTTTTATTTGAACTTTAATATATTTATTTAAAAATTACCATATGACTAAAATAAATCAAACAGACTCTTTCCAAATTCTGCGCATAATTTTTAATAAAATCATTAAAATAACTATACTATATTTTTATTTTAATATAAGCAATTATTTTTATCTTTTCGTTTTTACCATGTAAGGTCATTTGATTTCTACTTGTCCAATTAATGTTTAAGGCAAGTCTTATTATATTTGAATTTATATCTAGCGCTTCTCTTAATTTTCTTAAAAAATTAACCCCTAAATTAAAAAGTATAATGAAGCCACTATAAAAAAATTAAATATTTATTGAATACATTTAAATGAGTATTTCAAAAAATTGTTTTGACAATAATATATATGATTTGTATATTAAAATTTGAAAAAAAAAAATTTATAATGATTATATAATACAAGTATAATTTGCATTTATTGTATCATAAAGTAAAATTAGAGTTTTACATCAGGCTAATATAAAAATTGATAATAATATTTCAATAATTAAAGTTATAAAAATTTGTCATTTAAAAAACAATTGTACCAAATGCAATAATTATATAAGGTTAAAAAAAATTAAAATTAACTTTAAAAAAAATACTATTTAATAAATATATAGTTGAACCAATAATTTCGTCAATAATATATGAAAATATGTCATGTTCAAAATGTTTAAAAAAAGGTAATTGCAATAAATATTATATTATTTAAAAAAAGGCTCCAAGCCTAGTCTCAAATATAATGAGATTTGATATTCTTGTCTAGTTCCCTTATATTCCTTTTCCTATTTTCTAGTTTGCTGCTCTCATTCGATTGATATGCCAACTTGCCCCCTAAAACTGTGCCCTGCACTTTCAAGGTATCAGGATCGAGTATTACTAGATCTGCATCGTTTCCAAAGTCGAGACAGCCCTTGGATGTTGTTATACCTAACGCTTGGGCCGCATGAAGTGAACTGCATTCTAGCGCCTCGACCAAGGTACAGCCTTATAAAATATATAAAAAATAATTATTATTGTTTGTAATATGACTCGACCAGTGATTCGGAAGGAAGGAAGGAAGGAAGGAAGGGACCATCTCAAAAATGAATGAAACTTGGCATGTTAGTTATTTATGATGTAAATGTTAATAAGATATAAATTTTAGAGCGCCAGCTCAACCAGATCCAAAAATATACACCTTCAAAGTCGAAATCGCGTAATGCGTGTTTTTATTAAATCTTGTTTTTTTAAAAAATACTTTGGATAGAATTACATTGGAAAATATCGAAATAAAATTTACAAATTTCATATTTCTAGTAAAAATAAAAAATTAACATTATTAGGAAGGGATTTTTTGGGGGGTGTTTATATTCTCTAAAAATGTTTATTACCTTTATATTAAACTATTTAATAAAAAATCTCGATAGCCATTTTTGTTTTTTTTAATATATTATATTTAATAAAAATATGTATTATATTAGTATTAAAATTTAAAAAATCGATTAAGTATAACCAATATGATATCCTGGGATAATAAGTAAGGAAGCAGCCCATAAAGATGTGGTTATTAGAACGCTATATTTTAAAATAAACATATTTTAAAATATTATATACAAACAATTATAAAAAAAATATTTCTAATCTTATATAATTTTGCGTTTATTAATGGAATTCCTGAGGCTAAAGTTTGTAGGTGCGTCCTGTCACTATTATGGGATCTACTTTCGTTTTTATTTGATTAATGGGCATAAAAGAAGGATGGTGATCCATGGGGATGTAAAAAGGAAATATATAACTCCTCAGTAATTTCATTGTTTTTTAGTAATGCGGCTAATTACCAAAAATCGTCATAAGCCATGTTATGAATCCTTTAATATCAGCAAAAGACAAATTATCGGCATTTGAGATATTACTAATTTGAAAGTACTCTGCATGTAAATATATTTATGATTTAAGTTTACTTAAACTCAAATGAAATACAGCATGTACCCGAATTACTAGAATGGGGCGAGCTAAATTGAATCTTTCTCGTAGTTTAATCTCTTCTAAATTGTTTTGTTCGTTGGTTATATATGTAAAATTTACTGATGGCATGTTTTGTTTTGCAAACTGATATAAATCAACTAGTGTTAAAATGTGTCTAGATGGTGTGCTGAAGGCTTAAAGTGCTGTTAATCTTTTTAATATTAGGCCAAGGCCGTCACATAGACCTATGGTATGTAGCTAACTGTGCCATTCGCTACACCAAAATCTAATTCATGATAACACAGATTTGATTTTCTGTTTGTATATTGTGCAGTTGATCCGTCAGCAGCAATATATTTTACTTATCTTTTGAAATAAATGGTTAAAAATTTTATCATTTTGGTCTGGTATAAATGTACTGCAATAACATCATGCAGAAGTGACTCTGATATTATAACAAAATTAAGGTTTTCTATATTGCCATTATTATTATTATATGCGATCATAGGATGGATAGTGGCCTGATTATTATTCCAGTGGAATCATTGAACAGCGTCTTGGATTATAAAGGCATAATTTTCAGAGAAATTACAAATTATCAACATGGTTGTAAAAAATGTTTAAGTTTTGACTGATTGGTAGCGATAAATGAATGATGTAACATAGGTGGAATTTTTTTTTTAAATTAAGAATTCTTGAGAAAATTTTGTTATCGTTTCTAGATTAATTCTATCAACAGATACCCACTGTTTAAAGGATATATGATCTATGTCATTTTAGGCAAATTAATTGTTCTTTAATTGAGAATGTGTCTGAACAATAGTCACAATCTCCCAAATAATATAGTGCTGGATTGCATATTGCTTGGGCTAAAATATTTATATAGTTATGTAATGGATATTCTGGAATAGCTAATAGTTTTGCCAAGTTAGCATCTACAAACATAAGCTTAAAATTTTAATGAATTGCACAAACAAACAATGTGTGTTCCACTGGATCCAGCCAGAATATAATTTTTTAGCCGTAAATCTGCAAATTTAGAAAATCCAATTTTAATTATAGTACTTCTCTTTAAAAGCAGCTGAATGGCCTTTTTCAGCAATATCCCATGGAAAAGGTCCATGTGAAGGCATTTGCGGAACATAAAAAAGTTAGCAGCACGTTCAAGCCTTCAGCGCACTAGTTATGGACACATTTTAACACCAGTTGATTTATATTATTTTGCAAAACAAAACATGCCATCAGTAAATTTTACATATATAACCAACAAACAATACAATTTAAAAGAGATTAAACTATGAGAAAGATTGAATTTAGCTCGCCCCATTCTAGGAACTCGGGAAATACATGCTGTATTTCCTTTGAGTTTATGTAAACTTAAATCAAAAATATATTCATATGCAGAGGACTTCCAAATTAACAATATCTCAAATGCCGTTAATTTGTCTTTTGCCGATGTTAAAGGATTCGTAACATGTGTTTATGACGATTTTTGGTGGATATCCACAATACTAAAATCACAATCTTTCTTTTACCCTACAATTGAGGAAAATATATTGTGGCCCATTAATCAAATAATTACAATAGTAGATCCCATAAAAGTGACAGGAGGTACCTACAAACTTTAGCCTCAAGAAATGCTATTAATAAGCGCAAAATTTTTTAAGTTTAAAACATGGGTTATTTTTTTTATAACTGTTTGTATATAAAATTTTAAAAATTATTTATTAAAATATAGCGTTCTAATTATTATCCGTATGGGCTTCTTCCTTACTTATTACCCCAGGAAATCATTTTGGTTACACTTAATCGATTTTTTGAATTTTAATACCAATACAATATATATTTTTAATTAAATATATTATATTATAAAAAATTTTTTAATATAATGTCATCTATATTATCTTTTATTATTTCTAAAAATAAATAAAATTAAAAAAACAAAAATGGCTATCGAGATATTTTATTAAATAGTTTAATATAATGGTAATAAACAATTTTAGAGAATATCAACAACCAAAAAAATCCCTTCCTAACAAATTTTTTATTTTAACGGATATTTTTTAAATTTTTTTTCGATATTTTTCAATGTAAAATTTAAGGCTATAAAATGATATATTATTTGTAATTCTATCTTAAGTATTTTTTTAAAAAAAACACGATTTAATGAAATCATGCATTACGCGATTTCGACTTTGAAGGCGTATATCTTTGGATCTGGTGCTCTAAAATTTAAATTTTATTAACATTTACAACATAACTAACTAACATGCCAAATTTCATTTATTTTTAGATGGTCGGCCATATCACTAGTCGCGTCATGGAATTAATTACACAAGTAATAATGTGCGTATTATCTGGTTCAGTAATTTTAGAATAGATAGTAGGTTGATCTTATTTAGTAAAATAACTATAACGTTTTATGATTCAAAAATGTTTGACAATATGCATAAATTAAAAATATTTTTGAGGCCTTGATAATTTCATTAGCGATAAATTATAGGTACGCCCAGTCGCTGCTGATGGACTCATTATTATTAAAATAATATTTATTGGTTTGAAAAGGTGATCTAGTGTCGCTGGATAAGAAAATATTTTTCATTTCGTCTCTATTTACATTAACTTCTTGCACAAATCCTAATTATCAAACGTTTTCATACATACAGATCACATATCCTATTTCATCGATCAATAGATCCTCAAACAAAAAATCCTCACATGGATTAACTATATTTCGGTAACAAATGTCTGCAAATAAGAATATATTTCAGCATTGAGCTTAGTTAAACAGATCGGAAACACTGCGTAAATTTTACTATTTGATCTGAATAAGGTGTTTGTAAACTTGCCTTAGCAACTAACCTTTTTACTGTGCCGCCTATGCGATCTCAGGCACTTTTACCATGTGCCGTAGCAAAAAATGTCATTCTGCTTGAACGCCAAAATCAGTTTCATGGTAACAAACATTGATGACGCTTTTCTTTATATTTAGTATCGCGCTGCTGAACCATTAGAAAAGGAATATAATTTTTCCTGGTGGATTGTCGAATTTTTTAAAAAATGAATAAATTGCGATTGAATAAATGGAGTGAAATAGTATCATGAATTAAGGATCCTATTACCACAAAGCTTAGGTTGTTTATTTGATCTCCTATTTTATAATAAATTGAGAATGGATGCAACGTAACTTGTGAAGCTGTCCAATGATAACTCTGAACTTCGTCTAGGAAAATAAAAGAATAGTTTTCCAAAGACACAAATAATTAGATAATTTATTTTCTAAACTATTTATAAGATTATGTTTTAATTATTAAAAATTTCTATCATAATATTAAAACACTATAAAAATATAAAAATATAAACAATTTCATAATTGTGTTCCTCAAAGGAAGCTATAGTTAAATCCACAGATTTCTATCTAAATTATCTGACGAATATTTAAAAATTCTTTGATTCGGTTGGTAAAATGCGAAATTTTGCTGCCAAAATTTTAAAAACTTATAGGTTAGAAAATGACCGTTTGTGGAATAAAAAGGAGAGATTTTTGAATTTGTTGATCTGTGTTGTTTCTGCTTGAGTTAGCGAATTTATAGTTTGAGGAGAATGAAGAAACGCATGTGTAATCCCACATATGATTTGCCGAGGTCCCAATATAGTTTTCAACAATCAAGTCTTAAGCCATCTGAAATAAATTTGCGGGCTTAAACCTCGATTTATTGCTGTGTGGAGCTGGTGCCGCCCCTCACTGTATATACATTAAGAAGGCCGTGCCACTTTAAATCAACTGGTGATTTGCATTTGATACAAGCATGTGTAAGTACGATGTCCCAAGCTGGATGTAAATCAATGGAAACTCTCAATTGTTCATCTGATAAAGGATTACCAAGGTTATGAATACAGCTCCAAGGATGCAATCTATAGGTGAATTGCCTTGATATATCGACTTAGTAATTCAATATTAAAGGAGTGAATTTTTTTTATGAGTGATGATTGATGGTAAATGAGCGTTAAAAGGTATAATAGCCTCCCATTTGTTGGTTAGGTCTACTAATAAAGGATGGCATATGAAGCCTGACAAACGTGGATGAGAAAAATGACAATAAAGATAATAGATTGAATGGAAAAAAGTATCTACCACACAATTTAGAGGGTAACTGGGCGAGTGATCAATTGAATGAGTTTTATTTAATATTTAAGAATTTTTCTGATGGATTCCGTGGAGTCCTTTGTTGTATGCCTTCTTGGGAGAGAATCCGAAAATTAAAGGCGGTTGAAAGTCATAAGAGAATTCGATAAATTTAAAATAAAGGAGAAAAGTTTCATATAAAAATTTAAAAAAAGAAAAGAGGCACGATATCTCCCTTGATCCCAAAATCTAGTTGGTAAGTGTTATGTTGACAGCCACATGTTTGATAAATTCGAAGAGGATTTTAAAACAACGATTTCTTGAAAAAGTGTTGATCTAGTTTTACTACTTGATACAAATATCAGACATATTTTTAAAGGTTACATGTCAATACCGCGAAAATTTTAGCGCGAAATGTATTATCGCGAATGAATAAAAGCGAATGTCGATTAACGCGAAATATTATTATAGCGAATGCATTACCGCGAATATAATATTGCGAATGCATTATAGCGAATATAATACAGCAAAAATATTAAATCGAATGCATTAGCGCTAATGTAATACCGCGAAAGTATTATCGCAAATGTATTATAACGAATACAATATAGCGAATGAATTATCGCTAATGCATTATAGCTAATGTATTACCGAGAAAGCATTATCGTGAATGCAATGCAGCAAAAGCTTTACCACGAATGCATTATAGCAAATGAATTATCGCGAATGCATTAACGCGAAAATGTGAAAGCGTATTAATTATAGAGAATGCTTTATCGCAAGTGTATGATCGCGAATGCATTATCTTAAATGAATTACATCAGTTGCAATATCGAGAATGGAGTATGATAAAAATTACAATTTTATATTTATCAGCCTTAAGATAGACTTGGTTGAACCTGGAAATTAAGTTAGACATTTTTTTTTGAAAATAGGGCTAAGGCTTTTAATTTTTTTAATTCAAAATATATAAAAAAAATTCTAAGCAATAAATTAGATTGGGTAAAGAAATTATTTTTATATTAATTGATTGTTTAAATATGCTTTAGTTATATTTTCAATTAAATTTGGGATAGGAAGACCTAAAATTTAAAAATAAAGATTTTTGATGGAGCTTTTGCTAAATAAAATATGGCCCTTAATATCAAATTGGGGTTTATTATTATGTTCATACAAGAAAAAAAGGATAGATTAATTACATAAATTATATTTATTATTTTAATAATTTTACGAATCTCAAAATATGCTTTGTTTTTCCATTATATTTTATAATTACGAAAAAAATTTGAAAAATAGGCGAATGTCCGACTATAGATCAATATAATGGGAACACGTCTAGCCTATTTTTAAATAAATAAAAATAAATGAGGGTCTTAAGTTATTTTTTGTCCAATGTTAGTATTTCAAATTTTCTAAAAAAGGATTTAATCTAATTATTAAAAAAAATTGAGGATATGAAAATTCACAAATAGCAAGTGACGTGTTTTAGAGTTATAAAAATTTAAAAATGCTACGTTAAATAAATATAGAAACGTCAATTAGGCTGGTTTTTTGGTTTTTTGAAAAAGGTCTCAACTTGCTAAATGAGTTACAATATAATATACACCTATTAACACTCATTTACCATCAATCAATACTCATAAGAAAAAATTCACTCCTTTAATATTGAAATACCAAACAGATATATTAGTCAATCCATTCACTTCCTTTAATCATTAGGAGATACATTGGTTTATATTTACGTTGTACATCGTACAGCAATAGTTTGTACCATATGCAAATCACCAGTTACTTCGGCTAGGCACGACCTCAATTGTATGTCAGAGGTCAATAAATGGCAACTTAAATAATATTTTTTCAGATTAATGCTGGAAAATCTTATCATTTAATGTTTGAAATTTTAAAAGCATAATGAATTTAACAAAAATGTGTTATTTTATATAGGAGCACCTTATATTTTTGAGAAAATATTCATTTTTTTTAAATCGCAACTAAAAAAACCCATGGTTGTTCCAAGTTAAATTTTTTTTAAATAGATATAATGTAAGTGAATAATAAATGTTAAATTCAAAGAAATTCAGAAAGAGAGACACCTGAAGCTTTCAGGTTCAAAATTTATAATGTAAATAAAAACCCAACATTTTTATTTTAAAAAAAATCGTAATATTTACTAAAAGCCCTTTAATAGAATTCAAAATGATACATAATTTTTATTTTTTGCTATAGTATTTTTTAATTTATCTCAATTTTAAAAATCGTATTTTCGAAAAGGTCATTTTTGGCACTTTTGACTATTGATATCTCAACTATTAGTAATAAGAGGTTAACATTTTAGATTCGATGCCTTCCAATGATGTTCTCTCAATGTAAAAATTATATCAAAATTAAAAAAAGTCGAGCATGATAATTAGATTTGGTATGGAATTACTCTTTGGATATAAATAGAAAACAAAAAATAAGAATCTTTCATCGGGGATATTTGTATCTAAGATACAAGTTATTTTAGTATCGAACATTTTCGAAAGTATCTTTTACATAAGCAATTTTTTAAAATATGTGGATTTAAGTAAAATTTTCGAAAAATTTGGCAACCCTATTATACTATATTGTAAAAATAACCTGTGGACTTTTTGAAATATTGAACGCAGGCGTCGAATGGAGTCATACTGTGTGTTTTTTTAAAAAAAATTTAAGTTTATTATATATTTTAAATATTTAAAAAAAAAGAGTAAAATATAATCCATGCAATAAGTATAACAAATCTGTCTGAATAAAATTGTTTTAATTCCTTAAAGAATCAATTTTAAATCAAAATATGTGCATAGGGGAGACCGGGGATAGTGTTATCCCGGGGCAGGTAAATTCTTTTCAAATAATTAAAAACGAATAAACTTTGAGTTTTAACATTTAAGCCAAATATGTGTTTTAATAAGGTGATTAAGTAGGTCTAAAAATGTTTCACACAAAATTTTGTAAATTAGTTTTAAGTGACAACAAGTTCTTACAAAATATATGAACCTGGTAAATTTAACATACTTGGCAATTTATTTTCATATATTTACTTAGAATTAACATTTTTAAAAAGTACTTTTTTTATCCGAGAATTAAAATTATTTATCTTATTTTAAAAATATTTTTTTAATTACAATCTACGTATAAGAGATCTAATAAATATATTATATAAAATCTAGTATTGGGCCAATAAATAAATAAAAATTTCGATCCAGTCTGGTATTAGTAAATAAATTGATTCCGGTCCGGTATTGGTAAAAAATTGGACCCGGTTATATCTTATAATATGTAAAAACTTTCAATGAAAACATATTGCCACGTACTTTGTCGATTTTCAAATATAATATACAAAAAATACTATAATTTTTTTTAAAAAAACCATTAAAATTTAAACCCTCCAGCTAAAGTTTGTTGTTGTGACATGGCAGTTTTATCGCCAGGTGAATAAATGACATCTTGACCTCCGAAAGTAAAGTGTTGGACAGGACTTTCGTCTACTGAATGATAACGTTCTAAATTACCTGGATGTTTCTTAGTCTTTTTATCGTTGGGAGAGGGGGGTAGTTCATCTAAGCCCATGGTCAGAATAGCGTCGGTTATAATAACAAGACCTTTTTAGATTTGGTAAAGAATATGTTTATTGTAGCAAACCTATCTTTCCTTTTATATTTTTTAAAAAAATGATAATTTATAAAAATTTTATTGAGAAAGTTTTTAATTCCAACATGCCTTCAGAATCCATCATTAATATCTTAAATCCTATACAAAAAAAATCATTTATTGTTTTAACTTTTGAACTTAAGTGAATGTTAATAAATTAAAATGGGAGAAATAAATTAAAGTTGTTAAGAGGATTATTAAAAAATATTATTTAGAATTTTAAATCGTAAATCCATTAAGGTTTATTATTGAAATATGAAAATTTAATTTCAAAAAATGTTAAAAATTTCAATTTTATAGGATAGTTAATGCCATCCATAAAATCCATACCCAAAATCTTGGTGGAAAAAATAAATATTCGAGAAAAAAAAATATATAGAAAAGCATCACTCTGTTTATAAATCAGTGATTGGATGTCTTTATCTCACCAAAACGGACAAAAAATATTGGTCATGCAATACTGGTAAGACCCCCTTTAGGTCTGTTTTAACCGATAAAAGAGAGATTAGGGCGGCTATATGCGTAACTTAAATAACCCATAAATCATATAAAATAAATATGTATTTAAATCTAATTAGTACCTAACCAAATTTATATATAAAAAGGTATTGTAATTTACCCTTATATATCGTGTTGCCCGCGTAAATTACAAAATCCCCATCTATTTTAGTTACCAAGTCAATTAGTAAAATCACACAACCCCTGTAAGATATACTATCCTCCAAGACTTTGTTTGCATTTTTCTCTTTATTAATGCATTTTTTTCTTCTAGAACATAATTTAAGGCAAGCTACAAATCACATCTCTTATGATAAATAGAATGAAAAACAAATTAGCAGTACTACTAAGAAATTTTGAAACGGAGAAATTAGACATTGTTGGTATCCAGGATAATCACTGTCCAGGAAAGAATATCACAGACTTTAAAGATCATAAGTTGCTTTGCAACGGTACCACCTCCAATAGCTGGTTTGGAATTGCATTCCTAATAAACATGCAAAAATCCATCATCAAATTTGTATCCATATCTGAAAGATGTGGTCTACTATATCTGAACACAATATTTAGGCCTATGATATTGCAAATTATACGCCCCATTTAAAAAGGAACGATAGATTGGGGTTTATAGACAAAATGACAAATATGATAGACTCCCTGCCATCAAGATATAATATTATAATCCTAGGGGATTTAAATTTGAAAATTGGTAAAAGAGTAGAATATGTTAATAATAATATAACTGGAAGACAATACAACAATCTAATAATGAAGATAGCAGAAAACTTCTCGATTTTTGTAAAAGCAAAAACTTAAAATCGAAAATACCTTCTTTTGCCACCATAAGGGAATAAACACATACAATTTCGTAAGAGCCAATCAGAAATCCCTAATAGATCTTCATCTCTAATATCCATGGGTGGTTCGATGACGTTAAAGTTTCTACTCATATTAAATTGCCATATCACAGAATGGTGATAGCTAAAATTACTAAAAAAATATATAGGAGTACCACAACAGGATTAATCAAAATCCATCTAGACCCAGCGTAAATTTTTCAAAACATTCATTTCATGGAAACATATCAAAGCACAAACGCAGGAAGATACATTGATATTTGATCAAACGTTAGTCAAGAGAAAAGAAAACTTTCAAAATGTAACCTTACATAGAAACGTGGATAATGTTAGAGTCTTTTTAAAAAAGATATTGCAGAATTCTATAACACGCTGCCAAATGTAAATTCCTTAAGGAAAGAATGTATGCCAAATGAGACATTAGAAAAAATAAGATAGCTTAGAGAAGGAAATGACTTAAAAAGAGACTTATGGAAAGATATACAGAAACTGCTGCGGAGAGATAGAAGAATCTATGTTGTAAGAAAGGCCTTTGAAATTGATTAGGACATGAAAGAAAATATGATTTATGACGCTTCAAAAAATTAAAATATTTCTGTAAACCATAAAGTTCCAAACTCCCACTTAGTTTTAGCGAATGGAAGGAAAATCATTGGCCAAGAAGAGCAGATTATTACATGATGGTTTATGATTCAAGGAAAATATTCTGTCCAACAAACACAAATATGAACCCAGCCCCGCCCCCGTCGAGTTTTTCTATAAATGAAATAGAAAAATAGTTAAAAAACTGCGGAAAAATAAAACTCCTGGGCTTAACAATATTACTGCCGAATACCTAAAAATTGCACCCATAACAGTATCTTCCTTTCTTCTATCCATTTTCAATAAAATCTCGGAAAGCGGAAAAACCCCAGAGGAATGGAACAATCCTTACTGTGTAATTTCCCTAAGACCAAAGACCCTAAGAAATTTACAATATCGTGCTATAGCCCTCACATCTTCTGTATCTAAAATCTTCATGGTCCTCCTAAAGAACAAGATTATGACATCTACACCATATTTGTTCCCGAAATATATTTGCGCTTAAAGACCAAATAAAAACATACTGGAACCAATACTTACATTAAAAATAATTATACAAAAATGTTAGAAATACAAAATACCTGCTTACTTCACTTTTATAGATTTTAGTAAGGCCTTTGATAACGTAAACCATGATGCTCTGACACTATCAGCATTGAACCATATTATCAACATTCTAAAAAACCACTACTCCAATCTATCTGTTTGTTTCAAAATTAACAATTATCACGCCCATGTAGCCTTTTACTAATAATTCCTATAATTCAGAAAAAAATTGTTGATTTGATTTAATATTTTTACTAAAACAGAAAATTGAAGATCTCGACAACAGGAAAATTGATTAAAAAATATTAAAGAAAATGATAATATTGAATCTGAATCTGAAAATGACTCTGCCATGGAGAGCTAAACATTCGTTATTGAATGATAAAGAATTTGAAAAATATTATAAAATTAATATTAGATTCGTTTTACCATTATATACAAAATAGTTAATATTGACTTTAAAAAACATTTATTTGAATTTGACCATATTTGACCGATCAAATAGCGGTGAATTGACCGAAACGTATTTGACCGGTCAAATACACAACCCTGATAAAATATATTTTATAGATTTTTCCAAATATATTTAAATTAATGCATATTTTTGGCAACAATACTAATAAGCAAAAAAATAAGAGAATCTTTTCATTACTGAGAATAAAAATTATCTCAAAAATGGGACATCAGAAAATTAATTGAATTGATTATTTCTATTTAATAGACATAAAGATTTGATCTTACAGAGCAACTTATTGAAAAATCGGTTCATTTACAAAGAAAAAAGTTTAAAATTTTATTTAGGAATATATATTGATCAAATTTTTTGAAATCATCATATGTTTAATTCTGATGTTATGTAATTTATTTACAGGGTTATATGCCTAAAATATATTTTTAATAATATTATGTATAATTTATTTTCACTCTTATTAATATATTTGTATTTTATATTCTAAATTTATAAAATATGATGAGAGTTCTTAATAAATTTTGTATAAAAAATCATCCCCCTCCTTATTTGTAGAAGATTCCTGGCCACGCGCCTGAAGACATCAAATAATATATGCCTATATTTGTTTATCATAACCAGTTAAGGACTCAAAATTTAAACATGATTATTAAAAAAATTTTTAACCTAAAGTGTTTTATCAAAAATAAATATTGGTATCAATCGTTAAATTATTAAATGGTTGCAAATGAACCTTGGGGCAAAGTTCTTTGCGCAATTTTGATAGCAGCAGGATTGGTGTGAATGCCGTCCGTTATCATTCCATAGAAAATATGAGGACATGCTGTTAAAAGGCCGACCAATCCAGGATCTCGGTGATGGAACTATATTTTTTAAAAAAAAATTCCTTTTTTCTATTCGATAATCTCTATAAAATGCAGAGAGCAAAGCAAATATGTAAATGTAATTATTACCGGAAGCATTGCATTAAATAAATGGGTTATAAAGGAAGCACCGCTTTCAACACCTTTCTCTCCTTGTTCCAGGTTGGCCATTGAATGTCCTAAAAAAATCATTGACATTTTATTTTTATGTGTTATGTCAAAAATTTTGATTAGAAAACTAAAACTAAGCATAATGTAATAATAAATCAGTATTTTGTGTACAATTTGCGTATTACTTATGAGCCATTCTATGTGTTAAATAGATCAAAAAAGGCATATTTACGGTCGTCCCCTTTTAAAATTGTTTAAAATTTTCTGGAATTATTTAGATAGGTAAAAAAATGAGAAAGTCGTTTATTTTATCATGCTAGCACACCTGGTTTCCGAGATATATATAGGGTCTCAAAGGTTCGAAATATAGTGACTTTGGAATCCGTATTTTTAAAATGCTTTATCTCAAAACTATTTATGGTAAAAATAAATGTAATATATCATATTGTAGGTAAAAAAAATATTTAAAGGTCAATCATAAGAAGAAAATTTTATATATGCTTAAACCATGTTTTTAAACAATAAGGGGAGTTGGTTTTAGAAATTTATTTTTTGTAATGTATTTAGACACCTTTTATAAATATGTATACGATGTGAAAACCTTTGGTATGCTATCGGATCTTCCGAAATTGCATTTTTACCAAAAATTAAAATTTTTTGCATAAAATAGATGTCGCTATATGTGTCTAAAAAGGAAAAGGGGAAAAATTTTTCCGAAAACCAACTCCCCTTATTGCATAAAAACGCAGAAAAATTAATATAGGTAAACAAGAGGTTAAAGCTCAAATTGTGTCAAATTTTCTTTTCTTCCGATAAACCTTTAGATATTCGATATAAGCTTTTTTAAAACTTTACAGATTCGAAAGCGGCTATTTTTCACACCTTTGAGGCCCTCTATCTCGGAAACCAGGTGTCCTAGTGACCTAAAATAAACGGCTTTCTCATTTTTCCACCTATGAAAATAATTCTAAAAAATTTTAACAATTCTAAAAGGGATCGGTAGAATCATGATCGATTTGACATGGAATAGCCTTTATTTTGTAATCAATTACAATTGCTTCCCTCCTTTTAACCAAATCACATTTATTTACAAAAAGAGTAATTGTAATTCAATTATATAAGTAATCAATCTATTCAATCCTGCCAAATAGCACTGTTTTTAAGAGTAGCACTCTATCTAACCGGAGATAGAACCCTACAATATTTTCTAATCAATAGTATTATTTATTTTATGCTATAAATAACTAGAAGATAAATTAACCTAAGGAAACGCGGATCCCCTTCTCTCGCGTGAGTTTTTCGATTACCTTGTCAGCTCCCACATATTCGGGAGCTAATGTTATTATGAGAGGAGCTGAATCGGGCTCATCAAAACCTTTGGTTAATTTTTAATATTTTAAATAAAAAACGTTTCTTTTTCCATTCCTTTCATCATTTTATTATATTTCTTATTTTTTCTCTTCATTTATATTTTCACTTATCTCCTTTTCCTTCTTTCGTTCATTTTTTTTTCTATCTTATTTTTATATTATATTTATTTTCATTTTCATTTTGCCTTTTTTAAAATCCAAGTTACCAAAAAAAAATTTGATTGAATGGAGTGAAACGGGGTTTCCATTCGGAAAATAAATATATATGATACGGTAATAAGAAAAAAAAAATCCCAGGAATAAAAGCCCCCTGAAAAATTTCAAATAACTTATAAACACTTTTTGAAATTCTCTCACATAACGTAGGATTGGTCCAGGCCAAACCAGAGTGGTATGGAGTTATTAGGAATGTTTTATCATAATAATGTATGAAGGTTGGGTAAAGTAAGAGTGGGGGTAGAGGGTGAGGTAAATGTGAAATAATTTTTCCATTTTTTGCCGATTTTTATTTAGAATTTTATTTTTTACAAATTTGGATTTATATTTCTCTAACACTATAACTCCTGGTATTTAGAAAATTAAGCATTAATAATGTATCATTTTATACGATATAAAGATAAAAATAATATTATTATTGTATTTTAATTTTAAAATTTATAAATATATTGTCTGAAAATATATATTTTATAAAACAAATTTAATGAATCTAATTAACCCTGGAAAAGTCGTATTTGATATACCATTAGTGTTGTTAAAAAGCACATGGGTGGATTTTTAAAAATGGTCTGATTAATTTTAGCCAAAATAGTATTATGTAAATCTGGAGATTTTGCTCATAGATGGCAGAAAGTATTTGCCAAACTCGAGGCTTACATAAAAATTAATTTGGTCGTCAAAATCTTAATCGGACCTTTTCTAAAATTCGACCCAAATCTGGCTTTTAACACTATATACCATACATAAAAAAATTATTAAACTTGAACATCACCTTCACCATCTTATCTTGTTTAAGAATATTTTATGGAGGGTATATGAGTAACCTTTAAATAATGAATTCGAGTCGTTAAAAAAAATTAACTTATTTTGTGACCTCATGAATGTATATATTATAATGCAAATAAAAATATCTTTATTATTAGGTCATAAATTTAATAAACATGGGTAAAAAAAATTCCATGGGTTTTTTTTTCCTAGGGATTTATTTCGGTTTTTCTCAGGGATATTTTCTTTTGGATTAGTATGATACACAAACTCATTTTAAAAAAGGATAATTTTTAATGTAATTAATCAAATACTTTTTCTTTCTTAAAAAATAACCTGATCCATAAACTTCCGTTAAAGAAGAATAAAGTAATGGTCGATCATGGGAAACAGTAGGTACTTGCTGCGTTAGGGCCCCATTTTGAGGCAGAGGAGGCAAAGATATGGAAGAAGGTTTGTATATAAATTCGGGCTGGTGAATGCCTCTTTTGGATGGGTTTATAAATGGGCCCTCTAAGTGTACACCTTTATAGTTTAAAAGAAATTTTTTAAAAATTGAGTTTTAAATATTTTTAAAAAGTTTGCCTCTAATTTATAAAAGCCTTGCTTTCAAGTGACTGAGAATATTATTTGAGCTATTTTATCTATTTTTCCAGTATTTTATAATAAATATTCAGCCTTTTCAAAAAAATTATTTTTATCAGAATAAATAACAAATTGATCAGTATTCATTTTTTAATTCCATTATAAGAATTGTCAATAAACATATTTTTCCGTCATTATTTTAATTAAATAGTCAGTAAATAAATTTTTCCCCCATTCTTTTGATTAAGTTGCAGTAAACATTTTTTCCCCATTACCTTAATTATATTACAATTAAAATAAATTGACTATTTACTATTTAAATAAATTTGAAGTCATCTAATATAAGTTAACCCTAGTAACCCACATTAGGCCTTTATAGCTTATTTATACATAGTTTAGATATTTTAAAAAAAAATTAAGCAAAAAAATATTTATATTAATATTATTTTAATCTTACCCTACTAATTCTAATTCACATCAGATCAGACCTTAGACCAGGTTTAGTTATGATAAAATAAATAAGATATATGATTATACGGCTGTGAAATATGCTGGTTTGTTAAAAAAATATCTATTGATTATATCAACGGGTAGCCATCTCATATAAGATCTTCCCCATATCAGGTTTTAACTTGATACTTAATTTGGTAAAATATATCTAACTCTAGCTATCTCCAATTGTTTTCCCTGGGGATTTTTCTTTCTCGCAAAATGCCGTTTCCGCAATAATAGTTTTCATATTTTTTCTTACTGAACTAAACAAAATTTTTTTTATGCTAAACATATTTTATTTTACTAATCAAAAAATATATAATATTAATTAATTCTAGTAAAAAATAATGGTAGCTTAAATTAATTGTTTGTTGTTTATTATAAATATATAAAATATATATTTGAATAATATCAAAAAATAGGACAGTGAGACAACTAGAACCAAACAAGTTAGAGAACGCCTAAAAAGGCAGCAGCTTACAGACAAATAGAATTGTACCAACTTACGAGATTGCCCGCTCTACTCCAACTACTTATTCCCTAACTTAACGCTGACGATTATACAACTTACTAAAGAACCGAGATTACTAGAAGTACACCAACTCACAGTACTATTAGAACTAAAAAAACTACTCCAACCACTTATCCCCCTATTCACAACTGACAATGACGATTATACAAATTAAAATTACTAGAGATGACTAGAACTACACCAACCCACAGGGCCACTGGAACAAATAACCTATTCTCTATACAACTGATGATTATTATGTCTTTTATCAAAATAACTATTACATATAAACCATATACATAATATTTGAATTATAACAATTATATTAATGATTGTATAAATAAAAAATATTTAAAAACTCACCCAAAACATTAGCACATCTATGATCGGGAATCTTGGTTTTCTTTATTTTAGGAAGAATCTTTAATAAAAAAAAACATTTTAATTGAATAAATATAATTAAAAATCTATGCATAAATATAAATTGATAACTTAATAGATTTTATAAAGGCGTCCTTCACATGAGTGGAGCAGAGGGTGAAGATTTTTAAATTCAACTTTAGTGGAAATTTTTATTATGTCCTCCAATCCAAATTTAATTATCCTACTCACATGGCCACAGACCCTATCATAATTTTAAACATTATTTAGACAGACCCATTTTTTCATCTGATCCGAAAAAATAATAAATAAATTGTCCGACCAATTCGTTAATTCCGACCAATTCGTTAATTTTTTTCAAAAAATCGGGATCTTATCCGAAATTTTATCTTAGAATAGGCCCAAATGCACCAGGAAATTCATCTAAAAAAATTTAACAGTTCGGGGACTGTTTTTAGCAATTTAAGGGTAGGGAAATTAATACAAAAAAAATTGGTCCTAAAAAGGTCGAACAAATATTTAAATAGTGAGCCGGAGGCCGACTTACAGATTTCTCATCCCAAAGAAATTTCTTCAAAATCATTTTATTTATCACATATTTTGAATTTTGATGATCAAAATAATTTCAAGAAAGATCTGACCTAGTTAATATCTTCTTTCAGATAATTTATTTTTATAAAATTATTCACCCCCCATTAAACTGAGTGGTCAGAGCAACGGGCTCAACTTCACCCAAAAGATTTTCGAAGATTATCTTGTTAATATTTAACATTAAAGAAAATTTTTATATAATACAGGATTTCTTCAAATTATGGCTAGAAAGCAAAATAGATTATAAAAAAAGTCGACAATGATTGTTACTCTGAATATGCTAAAATGTTGGGATAGTCGATAAAGTTATACCTTTTGATTATAATTTATTTATGACTCGAATTTACATGGACTCGAGATTTAAGAAATGGGATCTAAAAAAGGGCATGCCGCATAGCAGCAAACTTGAAATCCGGTGAATTCTCGAATAGTGATTACTCATTTGCAAGTATGTCATCAAACGAGAAGGAATCCCAAAAACATTTAAAATAATCATGAACAAATCAAAGTTTTCCGATGCCTCGTGCGTGGGTTTTAATCGCCATCAACAACTTTTCCTTTAACCTATTAAATAATATACCATCACATATTATTAGATACAATAATCCCAATTGTTAAAAATTAAAATAAACAAGCGAACAGTAATCTAAAATTAAATAGGTTGCACCAGAAAATAAGACGCCAAATTATTAACAAGTATTACGGCGTACTTATTTCGTTGAAAATTGATACTGCAACACTATTTCAAAAATAGGTATATTAATTAGGAATAAATTCTCAGAATATTATAGACGGTAATGGAAATCTGAACGTTGTAGAATCATAAAAATCGTAAAAAATCCATATAAATATTAATTTCATGGGAGGAATTATTAGTAAGACCTCAATTTAAATCGTATATAGAGTTGCAGAAAACATGATTAAAATGATTGAAGTGTTAAAACACATAAATAGCTAATCACTGTATAATTCAAGTATTAGCAAATAAATGACAGCCAAATTTCTAATATAGATGATAGTGATACTGTAAAGGATTCGAAGAAATTACTTCAGGGGATTCAGGTAAACACCCAAAAGATAACATAATAACCTTTACTTTGAAATAAGTCACGAATAATTTCAGCAAGATTTTGAAGAGCCTATCTAAAATAATATGAAAAATTTGTTAACCTTCAAAAAATCTTTTAGACTAAGTTGTATGCGTTGCTGTGTGAATAGATAGGATACATTTTAAAATTATTTAAATTACATAAACAATTTTATAGTCTTAAAAATAAATTTTATAGCCTTAAAAATAAATTTTAGTTGTTAAAATAATTTTTTAATATCACCGGGGTGGCCTAATGGGTTAGATGTATGCTTGGAAACAGAAGGACGAAGAAGGACGCAGGTTCAATCCTGTTAAGGAGAATAAAAACTTTCAAGTTTTTCTTCGATGACTGATGTGTAAAGACAGATAGTATGATGAATTTCGGAGCTTAGAGATGATACCCCGGTCACAGGCCTGGACAGCCGGGTGCTAAGGATACCTGTCCAATAAACAAAATGAAGGAAACAAATGGAAATATGAATAAGAAAGCTAGGGCGTTCCGTCCAAGCGACGCGCAGGGTGTAGACCTCCACCCTGTGAAAAGTAAAATAAAGGTCAAAGCAAAGAAGACAAGATTAGCAAGTTTGAATATTGGGACGCTTAAAGGTAAGACGAGAGAGTTGGCATCAATGTTGAACAAGAGAAAAGTTGATATAGCGTGCATACAAGAGACGAAATGGAAAGGTCAGAAGACTTTAATGATTGGAGATGGGTATAAATTGTACTATAATGGAATTGTTAGCAATAGAAACGGTGTCGGCATCATCCTCAGTCAAGATCTAACCTCCTCAGTAGTAGAAGTGAACAGGATCTCTGATAGAATAATGAAGATAAAACTCTGCATTGATCAATCAATACTACCTATCCTTTCAGTATATGCTCCTCAAACGGGTTGCAAGGAAGAAGAGAAAAATGACTTTAGAGCTATCCTTGATGAAGCTGTAATGGAAATCCCTAAGGATGACCTAGTCATAATTGGTGGTGACTTAAATGCGCATGTGCGGAAAGCAAGAGATAGCTACAAAAGGCATCATGGTGGTTTTGGATATGGAGAAAGAAATGATGAAGGAGAGCACGTACTGAAATTTGCGCAAGCCTTCGACCTTGCCTTAACCAACACCTACTATAAGAAAAAAGACAGTCATTTAATAACATACGAAAGTGGTACAAGGAAAACACAGATAGATTATATGCTAATCTCTCGCAGAAGATTAAAAGATGTAATAGACTGCAAAGTCATCCCAGGAGAAGATATCGCCGCATAACACAAGCTACTAGTCATGGATTTACACATCTCAAATAAATCCACTCAAAACAAGATAAAAATGGAACCATGCATCAAATGGGGCAAATTAAAAACAATGACAAATGCCTTTGCAATCAATGCAAACATTGAAACTATAGATTCCTCACAAGTCAGTGAAAAAATGTGGACAGACCTTCCATCCAGATTAATAGACACTGCCAAATCGACACTAGGCTTGACAAATGGAGGCAACAAATCATACAAAGAACTATGGTGGTGGAATGAAGAGGTACAAACCACTATAAGGAGAAAAAAAGCCCTTTATAAAATATGGTACAAATCCAAAAACCCAGATGACAAGACAAGATACAAAAAATCCAAGAGAATAGCTACAAAGTCGGTGGCTAGGGCCAAATCTATGGCATACGATGACATGTATGAAGAACTACATACCAAAGAAGGGCAAAATAAAATATACAGATTAGCCAAACAGCGAGAAAAGAACTCTAGGGATATAAACGGAGCTACGAAAGTAATCAAAAATGAAAATGGGAAATTGATAATAAAGGGAAAAGAAATAATGAATAGATGGAAAGAATATTTTCAGAAGCTTCTCAACTTTAATCCCCACACACTACATCTAGACGAACACTCCCCATGTCAAAACCTTGTACAACCTATAACAGAACAAGAAATAATCACATGCCTCAAGCATATGAAAAACAACAAAGCTAGAGGTCCAGACGATATTCCAATAGAAAGCCTTAAAGCACTAGGAGATGATGGAATACATCTCCTCACAAATCTGTACAATAAAATACTTGGAAATGAAGAGGTTCCCCAAAAATGGAGGCAGAGCTATCTAGTTCCTATCTTCAAAAATAAAGGGGATCCACACAATTGTCAAAATTACAGGGGCATAAAACTAATGTCACACTTTCTAAAACTATACGAAAAAATAATAGAAAAAAGATTGAGACATAATCGAAATAGGAGAGACTCAGTTTGGCTTTATGCCTGGAAGATCAACAACTGATGCTATCCACGCAATTAGGCAAATGAGTGAAAAATACAGGGAAAAGAACAAAAAGCTACACATGGTCTTTATCGATCTAGAAAAGGCATTCGATAGAATCCCAAGAAAACTTATCTGGCGCTACGCCACAAAAAGGTTCCCGAAAAATATATAAGAATAATACAGGATATGTATATGGGTCATACAACAATGGTCCGTAGCACAACAGGTACTTCAGCAGGCTTCACAATAGCCGAAGGAGTTCATCAAGGGTCGGCTCTCAGCCCACTTCGCTTCATTACAGTAATAGATGTATTAGCAGTCAATACCTCAAACAGTCCCGTGGAATATGATATTTGCAGATGATATTGTGATATTTGCCGAATCCAAGGATGAAATGAAAGAAAGATTAGTGAGTTGGATAAATATCCTAGAAAAACACGAACTAAAAGTAAATAGAGAAAAGACGGAGTATATGGTGTTAGGAGGAAGATGAAACAGAGAGTATTGATATAAATAAATGGCAGATATCAGCAATTGAAAGCTGCAAATATTTGGGCTCCACTATACAAACAAACGGCACAATAGAAAAAGAGATAATGAGTAAAATTAATCAAGGGTGGTTAAAGTGGAGATCTTTATCTGGAGTGCTATTTGACAAAAGAATCCCACACAAATTAAAGGGAAAAATTTACAGTTCCATAGTACAACCAACTATTCTATATAGTTCGGAAACATGGCCAACCAAAGTATCAGACGAGAGAAGTCTACAAACTATGGAGATGAGAATGCTGAGGATGATTGCTGGGGTAACAAGAAAGGATAAAGTGCACAGTACAAGAATACTAAGTAGTTTAAAGGTAGTGCCCATTAAGACTAAGTTAATGGTAAACAGACTTAGGTGGTATGGGAACACAGTGAGAAGGCCTATGAACTACATAGGAAATAAGGTTGAGAGTTTGGAAGTGATGGGCAAACGTAAAAGAGGAAGGCCAAAACTTTAATGGGGCCATAAAGTTAGAGCCAACATAAAGAAGTATAAATTAGATAAAAGAGATTGTATGAATAACAAAAAGTGGAGAGAGATGTTGAAGGAGCTTACCATCAGAAAAGGTGATAGCTAAAGATAAAAAAAAAAATAATAATTTTTTAATATTTTTTTTATACATGCCTAATTTTTGTAAAATGTACAGATGAAAAATTAAATTGCCATTTGTTTACATCTAGGGTCATGATTTTCCAAATTAACAAATATTAACATTACTTAAATAAAGCACTCCTGTAGAAAATAGATTTCATCTAGGGAAGCTTTCTTGGAGAAAAACTAGCACACCTTTATTGTGACCTAATTGAACGTTTTCGAAAAAGCTAATTAGTTTGCGCTTTTATTGAAGTTTATAAATTGTTATCAATATGCACGATACCATTTGAAATGCATTGTTTGTATTTTACATAACAAAGTGCAAACGCTTAATTCAATATTAGATACAAATTTTGAAAATATTGTTATTCAAATTAAAATTTAATAACCCCACATTTCTTAAAAAAAATGTTTTAATTAAGTATTTTTTTTGAATAAGTATTTTTTTTGAATAAATATTTTTTTCAGTGCCAATAATTATATGGCAAATTGTTTTAGTGCAAATATTTTTTTTATTTAAATTGTTTATATATTTAATTCCCTTTGATTTCAATTTGTAAAAATTTTACAAAATAAAAAAATTATATTTAAAATGATGAATTACCTAGGCATCCTGGACAAAATTTTAAAAGCTAGGCTAGGTGGGCCTTGCTGGTAAAAAAAATTTGGACAAGATAGTCAGATTCAGACTTAAAATTAATTTTTTGGTCAATAACAGTTACAAAAACAGGTTCAATGCAGGACTCTAATATAGTAATTTTAGTGAAATCAAAATTTTAAATATTTTTCAAGCATGATTGTTACACCAACTAATGGAACCTTTCAAAAATAATATTCATTTAGTTTATAATTAATTACACTTCTTAATTAATATAATATCGAAATATCAACTTTATGTTTGTATATTATTATCTAATAATATTTAATAACTTAATTTCATATATTCCTAAAGATATATTTCAATAATAAACACTGATTTAATGTAATCATTAAAAAAATTAAACTATTTTGCAAAAATCGTATATTAAATATCTAGGAACTTTCTGTTTGAATATTTTTCCTATAATTATTATAATATAAAACATGCATGTAACCAATGCCTTAATAACAAATTTGGCTGTTCTCATAAATATCAATATAAGCAATAAAAATCCCCCCCCCCACTCTTTCCTAAAAATGTATACAATGTAACACTATAAAGAATGAAAAATTAGTAAAACTTAATAACTTTTAAAATAATTTAAAATTTTTAAAAAATATAAAAATATAAGTAAAAACCAAAAACAATTTTTTATAAAAATATAATATAGTCAAAGGCCTATAACTATAATAAGTGAACCTAAAGACCTCCAATAAAATTTATTGTAGAAACCCCCAAGTGTTTCCCTCCGCCTATAAAAAATACTGGATACACCTATGTTATTAAAATAGCAGCCTAAATTTATCAAGATTTAGAAAATTTTGATACTCCTAAGTATCTGCAGGAAAATCATATATTTTTTCTATAATATACTAAAACCTTATGATAATATGATACAGGGGAGGTTATTATTGTAGGAACAAATGATGTCACTCCATGTTTTAGCAACTTTTCACCAACAAATTGAATATCTTTATTAGGGTCATGGTGATCTTGAAGTTGGGAAAAGTCAATTCCAAATGCACCTTGTAAATATTATTTTAAATATATTGATATAATGGAATGTAAATGTTACCATTAATTTGGACGTCTATAAAACCAGGTGAAATAATGTTATTATTACAAAAATAGACCTCATCCGCAATCCTTTTTTCATCAAAGAAAACAGGCTTTGGATCAATAATTTTACCTCTACGTACCCATATATCTTCTTTAAATATTTTGTGATCCCTTAATATGAAACAATCTGTAAACTGTGTCAAAATATCCTGTTTTTGATCCAGTTTGTTTAAAATTAAAGATTTTGCGATTAGACTGACTTAAATTAAACCTATCTCATTAGGGTTAGTTTTTTAAATTCGTTCATTCATTATCATCACTCCAATAATTGGATAATTTATACTTTATAGGGCAAGTTTAAAACTATTAAATATAGTATTATATTGTTATTTGTTACTATGGAGAGAGGGGAGAGGGGCACAGGGCTCGATTCCTATGAAAAATTTAAAGCGCCCCCTTAAAATTTTAGAGTTCATTGTTTATACAACTAAAAAAGGAATTTTAGATAATGTTATCATATTATTTGAAAGAAATTAATAGATGCCCTATAAAATTCGATTATGACAAACTTTATAGATAAAAGTGTCTAAAAAATATATAATTATTTTGAAATATATTATTTATCAAATCTTCGAGGATTTTTTATACTTCAGGTTCATTTGTTGTATTTAAAATACTTTTTTCTCTTATGAATTTAAGTCTATTTAATGTTTTAACAAAATTATCCATTAGTTACTTTAGGATTCAACTTTTGTTATCTTAATACCGGAATCATAGGCGTAGCCAGGATTTTCATAAGGGGGGGGGGGGGGATTAAAAAATTAATAGTCATAAAATATTTTTACAAATTTTAATAAAAAAAATAAGCCTGGAACAAATATGAAATATATTTTTATTAGTTTATATAAAATAAAAATATAATAAATTACTTGTATTGTATATACCTTAATATAAAAGCATGGTAATAATTTATTCCAAACAATTATAAGAAATTTATTTATAAAAAGTAAGTAGACATATAGTTGATTTTACTCTATTATATAGAATTAGTTATAAAATACAGGTAAAATTCCACTTTTACAGACATATTACAGTTAATAATTTAACAAATTTTACTAATCAATGCTCTTGATATTAAATATAGCAACAATTTGCATTCAATTATTTAACGCCATCTATTTATTTTAAGTAAAAATGATATTTAAATTTAATCTTCATATTATTCATCCCACAATGTCTTTAAAAGATATTTTCTGATGTCCTTATCAATATTTTATAGTTTTCTGTAAAATATATAATCGCTATATTGGTGAAAATTACTTGATTGTCATTTGATAATTAGATCAGCGTCTACATGAGCGGGAGGGGTAGGAACAGTTTGCATCCTATTTATTTGAAGGGGGTAGGCTCTTTAATGGGGGTAAGGGGTAGGCTGCTTTAATGGTGGTAAGATTTATTTTTTGGTTATATATTAAATTTTGAAAGGACAAAATTTATTGATGTAAAAATTAATACTTTTATAATAGAATTATTATAATGCAATTCATACCAAATCTATATATTGCAAACAATCACACACATTGTTTTCCAAATAAAACTTTCTGCTATCATTTCAGCAAGCTCATAATGCCATAATAATTAATTCATTGTAAATAATGGAGGTTTTAATTGAATTTATTATCTAAAAAATAAATTCTTTACATTTCAAAATATCGATAGTTGGTAGTAGAGAAAGATTAATTTAAGTTATCCTTTATAAATTCTGTGAAAAGAGTATCAATATATTTAAAAGGTAAAAATAATAATAGGGAGACACCGTCGCCGAGGCGGGGATTTTTTTTAGGGGGGTAGGCAAAGGTTTTTGAAGGGGGTTTGCATCCAGTGAAAATCCTGTCATGTAGACGCTGATTAGATATACTGTAAATCTACGACATATAATATTCCACTGTTTGTATTGTGCTTTAATATATTTTTAATTTATGACTTAATTTTATCAATAGTTTTATAATTATATTTTACTTTTATTAAGATAAATAAATTAAAATTACTCACTTTATAAAAAATTATATTTGATATATTATATTATTTAATAATTTTCTGGATCTATTATTAATAATTATAATACATTTCACTTCTGTCTTAAGACTTATTTTTGGCTTATATTACATTATTAAAAAACATTTTTAGTTCATTTTACATATTTATAAATTTATTTTCCCAAAAATCTATAAATTATGATGAATAGTTTTATAAAATAATATCAACTTTTACATTCTTTCTTTTAAATTATTATTTAAGATATATGCATACATATTTGAGGGTCAGGGAGTGGGGGGAGGACTAAGGGGTGTTGTAATATTTTAAATTATTATTTATAATTGTATTAAAATGATAATATTATTTATTATAATATATATATTATGAACCTGTTGTTAGCCATGTATTTTGTTGATTTTTGTGAAAAGGAATACAGTGGCAACAAAGGAAAAGGATTTTTAATTAATTTGTTTTTGTTTTAAAAAAGAAGAAAATTTTACGATTGGTAAATTATTGAAGATACGAAGAAAATATTGAATTAATAAAGAAACCAAGAAATTATATAATTAATAGAGATTCTTAAATTATAGAATAGACCAAGAAAATATTTAATTAATAAAGAATAGACCAAAAAAATATTTAGTTAATCAAGGTAAAGATACTTCCATATTAATTTACTTTCATTATAATTTACTTTCATTTTAATTTATTTTCATTTTAATTTATTTTCATTTAATATACTTTCATTTTGGGGGATATTTTTTTATTAGCTAAAAATGATATTTACAAAGTGATAAATTTCTGAAGGGGGGAATTCCCCCCCCGGCTACGCCTATGACCGGAATTCTTTTTATAAATTATATTATTTAATTGATTCACGTTCTCGGATTCAAATTATATTGTTACCTTTTTATAATTTTTACTATTATTTATTCAAATATATTGTATATAGATTATACTTGGTTATATTATTTTATATTTTGGATTATTATTTTTTGTTCAAAAATAAATTTTTATTCTGATTATTGTTTAAAGATCTGTAAAAGTAAAATGCATTGCAAGGAGGGCATGCTGTCAGCAACAATTAATAGATTAAATCTTAGAACCAGCTCTATAATCGAAACAAACAGGTTATAAAACAATCGTGTAATAATAATCAAGATTTCAAAATATTTTAATATTTTGGAGGTATAAATTCTATTTTTGGCCAACGTCTACATGACGGTTAATAATAGTCACTACCAAGTCAACGTATATCAATTTTCTATACCGACCAAAATTTGGTCGAGTCCGGCCTCCTATATATCATCTCCACAAGGACGGAACCATGAAGTTAGATTAAGAAAAAACATGATCTGCTGGGATTCGAACCATCAGATTGTTAAGCGACGCTCCTGCTGACTAGGCCACAGAGGCTTTCCAAGAATCACGATTTTTCAAATATATATTATATATAAATTTGGCAGTGCCTCTCTAAATGTAAAATAAACAAAATACAAATTTGATAGGTAATACCTTAAGGTAGTGACTATCATTAACCATATATGAACGGGATAGTAGAAACAGTTTGCATCTATTTTTTGAGGAGGTTAGGGGGTAGGCGCCTTTCGGGGTTGGGGGGGGAGAGATAAAATTATTGGGGGTGTATATTAAATTTTTAAATAAAATAGGGCAATATATATTGCTGTATATATTAATATTTTTATTATAGACTTAATATAATACAATGATATTGGTGATAATCAACCAAATCTATATATTGCAATAATCATAGACATTATTTCCCAAATGAAACTTTCTGCTGCATTTAAAAGGGTTAGCCATTCTCAGCAAACTCATATTCATACCAAACAATATATTATAATAATGCATTCACTGTAAATGAGGAGACTTTTAATTGAATTTGAATTCATCCTAAAAAATAACTCTTTTATATATTATATTTTGATAGTTGGTAGTTGAGCTTAAATAATTTAAGCAATTATTTTTTAATTTATGAAGGGATACAATTATAATTCAAAAATAATGTAAAAACATCGTCGCCGAAGACGTTGAAATTTTTTAGGAGGGTAGGCATTCGTTTTTGAGGGTGGTTTGCATCCAGTGAAATTCCCGTCATATTGACATTGTTTTTGGAGAATGGAATTTGACTTTTGGGATTAGTATAGACTAGAAATCTGTAACGGGCTAAGTTTATGCCGGCCCCCATACGACCGATCGTCTAAATGGGTGGGCCGGCTGGCGATCTTAAAATTTTTAAAGAACAGGCGGAAGGCAGGCGGGCGACTAATAAAATTTAGACAATGAGCGGGCTGGTTAAAAAACATATAAATTTTATTTGTTATTTAAAATCATTTAAGAAAACATTATAAAAATATATGTCCCATAAAATTTCAATATTTTTAATACCAAAGTTCCGATAATTGAAGATTTTGTAATGGATGAAATTAATAAAGTTTAAAAAAATATCGAAAACATGGATCTTATTTGCTTTCTTTCTTTCTTTCCTTCCTTCTTTCACACGACATACTAATTTCACCTGTTTCCCAAAACTCAAAGAGAATTCAATTAAAGAGTTTTAAATTATAAATGTAAAGTTTGAAATAGAAAGCCATCATGTCAAAATGAAACCACTACCGATAAGAGGATGAGGTTTTTACAAAGGAAAGCACCGTACCTAATAACATAATAAAATATTAATTTGTAAAATTTTGCAAGCTTTTAAGCTACTTAGTTTAATTTAAATATAAACAATTAATTTAAAGAGAAAAATCAATTGAAATGTACCTATCTCGGATGATATTTTATTCATTAAGTTGGAGCCCCGCTCCGTTTTTTCATTACTATTGCAAATTTTACTTCGAAATTTTGGGCTTTATATAATGTTGGGAAGAAGTGTATTTTCTAGACTAGATAAAAATTTTAATATAATCTTGAAAAAAATAATTCAAATTTAGTTAAAACTTAAATAGAATTTTTAATTTGATACCCTTCTTTACAGGGATATATTAAATCGTTGAAGCCTAGATGTTAGCTCTGCGCCCTTAACCTTTCTATAATTTAGTATTTGAGGATTTCCTGCCCGAATCAAGAATAGACTCTTGCTGTTTATCTATATTTAAATTTGACACCTTATTTGTAATATCAAAATAATTCTTTAAATTTTGCTCTGATATGCTGTCTTATAGCTTTTAATAAATCTATCTATCTCGATTTTAATTTAATATCGATTATTAGAATAAGTCATTTATAAAAGTGGTCTTATCTAAACGTCTAGTCATATTATTTAATTTTTGAAAAGTGATTGTATAACAGAAAATAAACTTTCCAAACTGCTTTCGCTATGGGGAGTATGCAAAAAATCCAATTGAGTGAAGTATTTGTTCAATTTTTACATGTTCGATCCTCAAATCACTAGAAATGGAATTAAGTTACATTTATTTATTATTGGATTGATAATATAATAATAGATTTTATCGAAAAAAATTTTAAATTGTAGAAATATAATAAAATCACATAATGCTATTTGAAACTTATAGTTTGAAGTCGGTTTTGGATTTCCTTTATTTTTCTAATTTATTTGATAATGGGGGTAAAGGCTATGATATGAAAACACGCAGCAGGGTGCAAGAGGGTAACATGCAGTACTCTGAGAGAAAATACAAATGAAATATTCTTAAAATCCATATTTTAATAAACCTGAGCTATTTAAAAAAATTTAAAAATGGTTAGGTTAATATTTATTTAATTGATTTTATTTATTTAAAATGTAAATAATTTTTCAGTATAAGTATAAGGCTATTAGTTGACCGCACAAATTTATATATTTTTTCTTAAGCTGTTTTTATTACTTTCTTTTTTACTTCACTTTGATTTGTATCTTAGATATTAATTAAATTTAGTGCTGTTAAACAGCTCATTTTGAGCCGATTTTTTAAAACGGCTAACTCAATATTTCATTCAGAATAATATTACGCAACGAAGGTTTTGCTTGTAGAAAACAAAAGTTCTCACATCTATTGGCGAAATCTCATGGCTTAGGCAATATATTTCTGGCAAAAATATTGAGTTAGCCGTTTTCAAAAATCGGCTCAAACGGGTCGTTTAACAACACTAATTGGATTGTTTGAAGAAAAAATAAAAAATAACCTTAACATAATTCTAAATAATCAAACTCAAAACGGTTAACATAATAAAACTCATATTTACGAATTTAATTTTTATTATTAAGAACCAGGAATAACAAAAGCATGAAAAAGCAGATATCACATTTTAGCCAAAAAAAATATATTACCAAAGTCTTGAGAATCCTTTTTTGACAATATCTCAAGACTTGTAAATCTGCTACATGATATAATTTAAATTCTCTTCGATGATAAAAATCGTTATTTTATAATAATATATTGCCACTTCTCCGCTTTATTTAAATTTGTAATTATATATGAATAAAATTATATATAGAATAAATGTTTCTATAAAACAATATTAAATAAACAAATCACATATTTTTTCTCTTTATCTCTAATAAACTAAATTATATATTTTCAATGGACGAATATTCCATTGAATGTCTGATGAAAAATAATTTAAAAATATTGAATAATATCTTACCCAAAAATGATGAGTGCTTGATAGAAATAATGTTTAAAAGAGATGAGGAAAAATTGAGAAAGTTATTGATATCCGAAGATTCTGTGGATTCCGATGCCGATAGCTCATCAATAGATTCTATTTATCCTCTGAATTTGTTCAAGTATTTGAAATTCTATTTTGAAGAGTTGAAGGCTTTTATGGTAGAGAATAGAATTCAACTAGAACATGGATCCACCAAAAACACCAAATCCGTGTCACTGAAATCACAATTAAAACAATTGTCCACTCATTATTACCAAAAGGGATACACTCATATAGTTAACTCCTCGAAGACTTATTTTTCCCAGATAGCGGAGTGGAAGGAAGAAGATGGCCTTCATGATTTGATAAATTTCGCTTTTAAAACATGTTCTTTGCCTCAAACGGAATTGATAGATCACGCGAAGAAGTTTGAGGAAAGAGAAGAAATGCGCAAAACTGACATTTAAAGGAACAAGCAAACCATCTTGAAATTATTATAATATTATATATTTATGATTTAATTTCCAACTTAATTTATTTGATAAATCTATGCCTGTATAAATATATTATTTTTTTCTTCTTTGTCGGTAAACCTTTTTAAAATACTATGAAAGTAAAAATAAATTTACAACACATTTGATTGGTTATCACAAAAGTTTTACAAGTCATATTAACGAAAATTTTCATTTGTAATAAGCTATATAAAAAGTGATGATTGGCTTTTCTTTTTAGGAGTGGAGTACATAAGGCCTCGTTTATAATAACCGCGAAAATCACGCGACATCGTTTAGCTTTTAATTACTATCTTAACCATTATCGCCGTTACTATAAACGAGACACGATCTTTTTTAAAGACAAACTGCCACTTCTATTTTATTCTAATAAGTTTTAGAAATCTGAAATGACAGGCACTAGGTAACGGCTGAAAAAATTTTTATATGGGCCAGGCCGGACAAAAGAATTAACAGGCCAGATCGGGCAAAAAATTATTGGCATGGATTATTGATGAACTCTGTTATATGGTAGAAAAAGAAATGATAATTTATAAAGTATAGTCTTTTTAATTTAACCACTCCCCAATGTTATAAATAGTTGTTTATTTTGGTGTTCAACTAAATCAATTTCGGTTTAGGCCTTGTATTTAAAAAAAAAACCAGGCCTAACCTTAGTAAAAAAAATTGAAAAAGGGCTGGACTTGGTACACACTTGGCCTGATATGCAAACTAAATTCCAATCGGGCCTAAAATTTTGACATTTTTATTGAGCGAGTCTTCTTAAATATTTTAAACATTGGGTAAGTGGCGGCATGTTAAAAATATTGCGGGCGATGGGTGGGTGAATTTTAAATATCTTTGGGGCGAAATGAGCAGAACAGACTTCTATTTATTAATAATCATTTTGGAGTTTATTTAAAAATACATGAAATTAAATAAATGGCCACTAAAATAATTTTTAAACATTGAGCGGGCGGACAGGTAAGCGTTAGGGTTAGACAAAATTTTTAGATAAATAGGGGAGCGGGTAAATTTTTAAATAACGATGAGTGGGTGGGGGTTAATCGGTAGGAGGAACTATGGTTTTGCTAATTTTGATTTGGATTCCATTTTTGTTGCTAATTTTGATTTGCTTGTGAGTACGATGAGCGGGGGGAGATAGGAATAAAATAGTCATGCTTTAGAGGGATGTTAAAATGCTTTCTCGCTCATCTAAAATGATAAAAGCTAGTGAATGTCACTGATAAAATGTGATTAAAGTTTTAATATAAAATAAATGGCAATCGATAAATTATAAATTTAATTATTTTTTTAAAAGAAATATAAGATAATACATAAAATCTCTTAAATATACATATGTCTGGCCTAAATATTTTTATCTATGTTATAGTCCAGTTCACCCCTGGCAATTAAATTAAATTTTTCTTAAAAGCACCTTCAATTTTTATTTATTTATTTTAATATAATTATAAAAAATTGTTTTCAATGTCGATACAATATCGTGATATTATAGTTATCTATTTGTTTTAATATCGTTTCCTTTCAAATATCTATTGAAACCCATCAACACCCATCGCTTTTTCACCTATTTTAATTAAAAGATTTATTTATTTTTTAAAATTTATCTATTAATTTGTCTGTAAATAATTTAGAGATAAAAAAACATCCCAAAATGTTATATAAATAAATGATTATATTATTACATACATAGAATCGAATAGAAGGAAGAAGGGAAGGAAGACATGTTATAGAGTAAAAAAAAATTTCATATTTCGTTAATTAATATGAAATACAAATTAAAATTTTTTTAATACTATGTTTTTATCAATTTTCGTTTTATATCAATAAAACCTATAAATGTCAAATATAACTAATGTATTTCTCCTCCCTCTCGTTGTGTTGTTTCCCCTTTTTTAAAGTTCAGCGTACCTGTAAAAAAAATATTAAAACCTTTACTTAAAAAATTTTAACACCCCCCCCCCCTTCCCCCCATGTCCAGAACTTGAATACTAGATATTTTTCAAAAAAAAATCACTCCTTTTTAAATTAAATTGAAAAAATGATATTATTTATTTTTTTTAAAAATGAGGTGTGTGGAAAA